TCATTGAAGCCTTTGAAAAGAATTATCAAAAATTTCCAGGAGAATTCCTTTCCTGGAATCACCATTAAAGGACACTGGCTAAACAAACAGGCATTCCAGAGTCCAAAATTTAAATTTTATTTCAGAACCGAAGACCTCAGTTCCCAGGCCACAGCACAAAGGGGCTTAAGAATTACCTGGCACCAGGTCCCAGACCACGACCTCATGTGATTGTTTGGCTGGAACAAAACATGTGCCTTTCCCCAGGCAGGCCTCATCCTCTTCCTGCCTCCTATTCTTTGACCAGCCACCTGTTATTTTTGCCAGATTTTTTTCCACCTCCCACATCCTATGATTTTTTGGATCCCTCTGCAGGCTGCACGATGCTCAGCCCACATTGGCCATGCAGATGGGAGAGATCTCTCAACCTCTTCTGGCACTTAGGAGTCATGTGTCAATGGTACCAACTCTAGGATAAAAGGTTCTGCCATACACAGACTTGTTTCTGGCCTCTGTCAAAAGGAAAATTTTAGGATGACAACAAAAATGAGATGCTGGCCTGAAAGTTCTACCTTAAAGGTGTTGTACTGGAATGGGCATAGAAAGTCAACACCAAGACAAAAGCATACCAAATTGCAGAGTCTTTATTGCCTATGGCCATGGAGGATTCGAGTCTATAACCCATGGCCCCGAAAGGAGGGTGTCAAAATTTTATGCCCGTAAACTACGTGAGGGGTGAGGGTGAGGGGTGGGGATGGGGGTGAGGAGCTTCAGACAAGGCCGGTGGATTCCATAAATTACCTCCTGGGTGGAGATGAGGGTGAGGGGCTCCGGACATTCTGAGGGCCAGGGGACTTCGGTTATTCTGATTGTTACTTAAGTGGTTTACAGAAGTCAAGATAAGCATTAGTTTACAGATTGTCTGGGTATGGGTGGAAATCACACACCTTAGTTACTTATTACAAGTTGCAGGGGCCAAGATGGTATGGGTTTGGACTGCTTGCCTGTCACATTAGGGTCATAGAGAGCAGTTTCAACAGAAAGCCGAGGTATGGTTGAGGTATGCAGTTTTATGGGGCTTTTTACCATGTCACAAAGGGATACCGTCAGCCTGGTCATCCTTAGTCACCATTTCAGGATCTTGGTCAACAAGACACATCCCACCTTCAGCACTGGTGGGTCTTGGGCAAGGGCTCCTGGGATGTCATGATTCAATGGCAACCTGGAGCAGGACCACCTTAGCAGCCCATGTCCACTGAGTCTCCCCTGTGGCAGAAACAGACACAAGCCACAAAGAAGCTATCCCATTGGCTGCAGCAACTACACCAGACCTCTGCATGACCTCCTCTCAATCCCAGGAATTCAGGAAAAGGCACAATTATTTCTGAACTCAGAACCACAGCAGGAGGACCCTCCATGGCCTGAATCACCACGCAGTGGGCAAGAATTTTAGGCTCTGCTAAACAGGCTGCAAGGCCTGTAAACACTGAGGCTCACAGGGGCTTCCGGACTGAGGAAAATGGGCCAGGTTGCTGAAGGCTGAAACGTCCTGTAACAGGTGAAGATCTGGCCAGATGGTGCTGCACCTCAGCATCAGTGCCAGTCAGACCTAACTAGACACTATATTAATGACACTTGGGGTGGACAGGTGTGAGCCTCCAGGCTGCAAAGAGACCCTGAAGGAGAAAAGGAGATCTGCCCTGGGGCAAGGGTCCAGATCATGATGACTAGGCCAATTTAAAAGCACCCCAATCTCCTCTGTTCTCAGAGGCTCAAGCGGGTGAACAGAAACAATTTAACTGAAGTCTCACTGAAAAAACAGGGTCCCATGGAGTTTGTCACCCCGTATCTACAACTGGAAGCAGTCAGTCACCTCTCTCTCCTCTATATGCCAAGAACCTCTGTTCAGGGCTCCTGACAAACCCCTCCTCCTTTCTGCCTCCCGCCACAGTACACTTGCTAAGAATGCCCGAGATCTGGCACATGAGCATTTTGCACAGCAAGTAGAGGAGCAAATGGGACAAGGCTGGTGGTGTGACCTGCACAAGGGCGGATGTTCACGGGTCCAGGCTGCAGACCAGCTCACCAGGTAGCTGGTGGCAGCTGTGTGCTCCCCACCGGGCCACTCAACCTTCTGGGGCCGCAGATCCTGCTGCGGCTTCGGTTTCTTGAGCGCAGAATGTATAAATGCGGCTAGGGGGTCAAACGTGGGGACTGTGGCGACCTCTGGTACTTCTGACCATCCGGCCCAGGCAGCAGCCAGCCCTGCCCGCGCCTCCACCAGCGGCCCCATCAGCCCGGCGTGCCTGTCGCTTCTTCTCCCCGCAGCTCGCCTCCGGGTTCTCTCAGTCGGGCACCGGGCTGCTCAGTGATGCAGGACCAGCTCAGATCTCGAGTCCTGCACCTACCGGGCGAACAAGCCAGGAGGCCGGGAGAAAAGCTGTCTGTCGCTCCAGAAGGAACAGGGTCTTCGCACTCCAGGACGGAGTGGGCGCCCAGTGGAGGGTGTAGGCGCAGAGAATGGCAGCGGCGGCAGCAGCGGCAGGAGGAGGAGCAGTGGCTTCTCTGGACGTGGCACTGTTTGCCCCCTGAGCGTCTCCCTAAGGCAGTCATGATTCAAAATCCCTGTTCAGCACAGGTGCACAGTCACAGCTGAAAATTGTAGTTATCTAAGAGGACTATTTCTTAATTGTATGTCTATGTTTTATATAGAAGTGTTTTGGTTAATGTTTCTCTCATTCTTGTTTTGCAATTTTCATATTACTGGATTTCTTTTGTAGAATAGGTTCCTTGACATTCGTGTTTTGTGAGTTTGGTTTTACCGACCTATTATGATTTTGAATGTAAATCTGCAACTTTATGTACATGTTAAGTCGATGTGGGGTTTAATTAAAACATGAATCAGCCATATCTGTCACCAATAAAATCATGTCTGTTTGCCTCTATTTGTTTATAACTTATCTTGCATATTTCTTTTCTTGGCTGGTGTCAAACGTTGTTTTATCTTGTTCAGGAGAGTAGTCATGTAAATAGTCTTAATTTACATGTACTTATTAATGAATCTATATTATCTTTGTGTGAGAAAAATACATTTATAATTTGAAGGTAATTTTATAACACTGTATCTCTTTTATGTATCACTTTACACACTCTCTCTGTTTCTCTCTCTCTCTCTCTCTATGTGTATATATATATATATGTTTTTTTTTTTTTTTTTGAGATGGAGTTTCACTCCATTGCCAGGCTGGAGTGCAGTGGCACAGTCTCTGCTTACTGCAACCTCCGCCTCCCAGGTTCAAGCAATCTCCTGCCTCAGTCTCCTGAGTAGCTGGGACTACAGGTGCACACCACCACGCTCAGCTACCTTTTGTACTTTTAGTAGAGACAAGGTTTCTCCATGTTGGCCAGGATGGTCTTGATCTCCTGACCTCACCATCAGCCCACCTGGGCCTCCAAAACTGCTGGGACTACAGTGGTGAGCCACCATGCCAGGCCACTTTACAATATTTTAATTATAATAAAAACACAACAACATTTACCATTCTATGTCTTTTTAATTGCATAATTTTTAGTAGTGTTACATATATCCACGTTGTTATGCAACAGACTTACAGAGCTTTTCCAGTGCAAATCTAAAACTCAGTACCCATAAATGACAACTGCCCATTTTACCCTCTCCTGAGCCCTTGACAAACACATTCTACTTTTGGTTTCTATGATTGGATCACTTAAGATATCTCGTAGGTGGCATTTTTACTCCACCAAATATTTTCTTTGATATCCAAAAAGCTTCTTAAATTTAAGTAGTCCCATTTTTCTGCTTTTTTCTTGTTACTTCTGCTTTTAATGTGATATTAAAAAAATTACCAACACAAGTGTCATGATTTTTACCATATATGTGTACATACACACACACACACACACACACACACACACACATATATATATATATATAT